TGCCCTGGGGAGCCTGTTCAGTGCCCAAACACCCTCTGGGGGAAGAACCTGTTTCTAATACCCAACCTAAACCTCTCCTGACACAGCTTCAGGCCATTCCCTTGTGTCCTGTCACAAGGGCCACCACAGAGATCAGTGCCTGCCCCTCCTCTTCCCATCACGAGGAAGTTGTAACTACAATGAGGTCTCCCCTCAGTTTCCTCTTCTCCAGGCTGAATAGATCAAATGTCCTCAGCTTCTGCTCATAAGGCTTCCCCTCAAGGCCCTTCAGCATTCTCATGGCCCTCCTTTGGACACTCTCTATTCGTTTTATTTCCTTCTTAAAACGCAGCGCCCAAAACTGCACACAGGACTCAAGGTGAGGCTGCACCAGCACAGTCTAAAGTGGGACAATCACCTCCCTTTCCCAGCTGGGGAAGAGGAGAGTGAGTGAATCACTTTGACAAGATCATGCATGAGATGAAATTGAAATAAAAAGCTTAAGTCCATGTTGAACTTAAGTTAGTTGTGAAGCCAATTTGCCTTTTAAAAAATATTTACATAGAATTATACAATCTGACTTTTAACAAATACTAACTTCTCTCAGTCCAAAAGGTTTAAAAATGCATTACTGACAATTTAACACTTCTTGGAATAAAACTACATCTGCAATCCTCGTGGTACAAAACTCTTTACTGCTCTATAATTAGTGGATCATCCAAGACAGATCATTAATATGAACATTGCACTTGGGGTGCACCTGTAAAGCACTTAGTTGGGAGTGAGATGTTTTTCTTCTTTTGCAATATCTCTAAACATTCCTCGGCATTCCTCCTGCCCCTTAGATTCCTTTCAGACAAAATTCAAGGATTTACAATCCTCTGAACACATGGTACAGTATGATGTGGATGTGCATAGAGACTGAATGTCTGTAAAATCTTCCTCCACTACTTATTTTCTCCATTTGAATAATACCCACGTGTCTGTTCCACTGCAGACCCTCTGAAAGCAGTGGCCACACAAGAGAGAGGCAGAGCTGCAAGTCCCAAGAGAGCAGAGACTGAATAATCTAAATCCCAAAATAGTGTTTGATATGGTATTTGCCTAGGGAGTTTCACCAGAGGCATATGCAGACTTCTACACTTCTACTTTTGGAGGAAAAATGAAATGGAGATTGAAAAGTAAGAAGGGATTTAGTAAAAACAAGGAAATTGCCATCAAAATTCAGTTCCTTCTTTACATAAGAAATGAAAGGAGGAAGAAAGGCCCCAGATGCTGCCTGTTTTCAGTGAGTCAACTCTGCTTCACCTTCCTCTCCAGAGATAAGAGAACCAGATTTTGTAGCAACTCCAACTTTGACATTTTAGTCTGTTCTGCTTTGTGAACAGAATTGTATTGCTGGTTCCTCAGAACTTTGACCTGAAATTTAAGAACCTATTCCTAACAAGAAAATATTTAAGAAAGAAATATAATAGTCAGGAAGGTAGCAGGATCCAAGAACCAAATTTAAGTTCCCTTCTGCTGCAGTAAATATTTGACTGGTTTAGACTGTTCAGTTGGTGTATGCAACATCAGTGATTTAACACTGCTGCAAAGAAAGAGTCTCCCTTGTTGCTGTAAGTATAAAACAATCCCATTCCCACCTGGTCAAGGAATTCTGATGTGTAAATGCCAAATCAAGTTTTCTGTAGAGAACAAGTCTCTTTCTAGCTCAAATTTAACTCATGTTTTTATTTTGATGCAAATGTGTCTTATTCTCCCTTCACGCTCCTATGATAATCACAATGAAGGAAGCAATCTGATCGGAAACACAACTTGCAGTATTTCCCATTTCACACTGAAAATGATGGAAGTTCTTAACTTCTTGAAGGCATCTCTCAAATATAAATAATAAATTCATTCTGGCCAGGACAGCAAGCCCATAGTTTAATCTCCAAGTAGGAAAGGTCAGTTTACAGCAAGTTGGGATGGAGATAAGGAGACCGTGCTGTCCACTAGAGAGGGAGTTTGTGAGAGAAAATAGCTGGAAACAAATAAGAAACCATAAAACATAAAGGAGTGCAAATATATGAATAGAAAAGTGAAGTTCTTGACAAATATCCATAATTTTGGGTGGCTGCAGTTTGGATGGGGGGGAGAAAAGCATGTATAACCTTGACCCCAGCACTGAGCTCCAGCTATTGCATCTGCATGACTTTTCCCAAACAAATCCATCATCTGCCCTGCTAGAGCACACTGCTGCACAATGCTGAGAAGCAGAGTGGATTGCCAAGAAGAGTTATTAAGGTAAAGGTTCCCAGGGTTTTTTTGTTTGTTTTATTATTATTATTGGTGGGTTTTTTTACATTATAGAGGATTTAGGATCTCCTTTCACTTTTAAGCTATAAGGAGGCTGCTGCAAACCTCTCTGTGGAGAGACACAAGGGAAATCCACACGAAACTTCCCTTGAGAACCAAAACCATCAATTGCAATAATTGGAAACTGTGGGAGCATCTACAACTAACAGTGAGAGATCTGCAGTCAGCAAACATGTCATTTTTGTTGTTTCTCTGTATTTATAAATGATTAAGGAAGATCAAGATTTTTTTTTCACTGAGACGCTTCTTTCATCCTTGTGCACCTGCTGACTGAAAAACATCCAGTGAATGTCAACACTTTTGAGAGCAGCATTAGGCTAAAGATGGAGAATCAAAAGCCACATCGACAGAAAAATTAGGTACCTAATTTTCATACATTCTTCAAAAAAACATTATGTGTTTGAGTCCAGAAAGATTAAAAAAATTGTGGGGAGTGACCTCAACCTGGTACAAGTTTACGTGTGACATATCCTCCCTACGCAACATTTTGCAGATTGCAGCAGGCTATAGTTTTGAAATATGTGCATGGAATAACAAATAAAATACTAGAATAAAAATAAAGTTGTTCTATCACAATAATACAACCCTATGTAAAGGTCTTGCTGACTCTAGAGACACTAGACAAGTGTAAAGAAGTCAGTACCTGAGAGCCAGACAAAAAAATATCTAACTTTTAACTTCTTTTTCTCGTAAGTGAAATGTACCTTTCAATACATTTAAAGTAAAATGTAACTATAACAGAAACCAGCTTCAATGACAACCCAAGGTTACTTAAATACAATAATGAACATCAAAGCAAAATTTCAGTATGACTTTGGACAACCTGGACTCCCAATTCACTGACAACTTTCAGGAGACATCCAGAGGGAGAAAGTTTTGTAAAATATACATTTTTCTCACTGGGAAACAGGCTAACATAATAATTTGTTCCCATTAAGTCAAAGGTTTTTGCTTTTGACTTGAATAGGAACATGATTAAAAGGACTACATAGAAAGAATAGATGAAATCCTGATTAAAAACTCTTTTATTCAAATATCTTTGTAATAAAAACCCCTCAAACCACAAAATAAACACTCTCACAGAAAAATTGTTTCAAACGAGAATGTAAAAAAGAAATGTACATAAACCCCACCACTGTATTATATAAGTGTCCTGCATGGCACTATAGAAAACTAGTGCAACTGCACTATTTATATAGGAAATGTGTATTTTAAATTAAATCTGTTTTTAAGCACTTAGTTTTTCAGTTGTATAAGTTTAATTGGCCAAAGTTATTACTTACATAAATATATATTAAAATGCCTATAAATTATTCAGAGTGCCTGTTTTGATGTAATGCCTCCTAGTTCAGTCAGAAAATTTACTGAAGCTGTCATATGCTACTATGGTGCCAAATTCTGCCCTAATTTCTGCACGGGCATGAGCCTAAAGAATTGAACTCCTAAGCCTGACAGTTTCAAAACTGGATTGGAAGACGGTGTGCTTGCAGCCTCAATTAATCCCCCAGAACACGTGTATGTGATTGTAGATCCCTCTGTGTCAAATTGTTGGGGTTTTTTTCAGAGGAGTTTAAGCCCAGGTAAGGAATGATTAGCATGTAATTAGCTGAAAAGCCTCAGATCTAAAGGTAATCTAGTAATTGTGAATTATTGCCTGCCCTTAGCTAGAAGAGCTTGTATGGAAGTCTGTGTGCTGCACACATGTAACCAGCAGGAAATGGTTGTCTGATTGCATGAATTTTACACATCTTCCAGCTTTCTGATCTGAATGGCACATCTTGTGCTCAGAGACATCTTCCATAAGAGACGTATGATACAGAGAAGAAAAGATTTTGCTCATTCATCGAGGTGATTGTACATGTTTGGTAGATTAGAAAAAAAATCATATTCTTCATTAATTAATCATGCCAGACCATGTTCACCATGGCTGTGAACAGGTGTGTTGTTATTACTACTACTGTTGGGAATAAATCAGGCTATGGCCTGTTTTCAGTTTCCAGCAGCCAATGTTTCTTGGAGATAGACTACTGTAATTTTCTACAAACCAGTATCAGGCAAAAGAGTCACAGGAAAACATATTCCTAACAGTCTGAAGGAAACCTGGTTGATTTTCCACCATCAGATGAAATTGAGTTAGACCTCATTTTCACCCTTTTTCCTTGATAAAAACTCATAATTAAAAGAAATACTCATGTGAGTAAAATTATCCATAGGATTATGTGACTGTTGGATTAGACTGTACGTAAAAACCAATGTGCTTGGTAACATGTTATATACTTACTACTATGCATTTAACATTGAAAATTCAATCTAAATTATCATGTAAAAGCTATAAATTCTGTCTATAAAACAATTGGATATAGGCATGCTTAAATTGTGCGGAAGGTACTTTGAAACATACTCAAAGATTCATGAGAGAAAATAACACATACATTTGGGGTTTTTTGTTATATTCAACATGCAAAATAAAAATTTATCTTTATATTTTGGTATTACTTCAAATTAAGATATAAGACAGAATAGATTTCCTATTGAACATCAATGAAAAAAAAAGGAAAGGAAATGGGTACATTACAAAAGCAAAAGGGTACAGTATAAGCAATCACAGATTGATGTTATTTAATACTATTACAATAGAGAAAGGAGTAGGTTTAGAAACTTACCCTCATCTTTGCACATGCATCCTGTGTTGACTCTGTGCCTCTCAACTCTTTTACCAGCATAGAACCTAAATACTAGAACAAAAATCCATTGAACTTAATTTAAGTGAAATTCCAGAACTGACAAACATCTGCAGAAATGCACCAAAAAGGCTTTAAAATACGTAGTGGTAGCAATCAATTTCTTAACGTATTGCTTTAGATATTTTTACTCTGCAGTTCTTTGACAAATCATTTAAACCAATGTGTTAATCAACCCATGAAACAAGAATGCACAGCAACAAGTGTATTGAATCAGCTGGAGTTCTTTGAAACAATATCTGAAAGCCTTCTAGCTTATCATTTTAGTTACAGAAACAATGAACAAATTCTACAGATTCCATCTTAAAAAAGCCATTTGATTATAAAATGGAGAATTTGCTTTTTTTAGCTGCCATCTGCCAAACTCCTATTGTTATGTGTGCAATCACGTGGATGAGAAGGCCAGCAGTGATCTTAACCTCTGTGTACTCAATCTGTAGCTAATTTACGTGCAAATAGCAGAGCCCGATGTCAGCAAAGAAAGACAATCTGTATTAAAACTAGCTTAAACCATTATTTCTTCCTAAGGAAAGGCCGACTCTGAGCTATTATTTTGGAGCCTTTAGTGATCTGGAGGAGGGCTGTGTGAGAGGAAGCAGCAGGGTGCTGTGTCCTGGCTCAGCTCGCTGGAAACCACTGTGCCCTCAGAGGAGCCTGCTAATCTGCAAGGGTAACAAGGCAGGCAGTGCCTCAGTGACACAGCTCCTGTGCTACAGGCTCTCCTTCACGGTGTCACTTGGTGGCACACGCAGTTTGAGCCCTCCTGCACCCTGACAGCAGCCTCTGCTCCTCTGAGGTCTCAGGACCCCACCTGAGAGCACCGTGTTCGAATGGCGCTGCTCCTCCAGGGATGGGGCTGGCTGCATCATCCCTGCCATGCCCACCTAGCAGTGAGGGGTCTTCTTCTGGCTAACTGGGCTGTATCAAAGCCTCACCACGCTCTGCATTTCTCCTGTAGATGCTACAGGTGTGCCTATCTGTCGGTGTGCATGTGTTCTTAGAGCTCTGTGGGACATTTCTGAATTTCTATGCGATGTCACACGTGAGTCTGGCTTAACTGAGCAGAGAGCACAGCAAGGCACCCCTCACCTGCTTGTCCCCAGGCACAGAGAAATCTCTCTCTCTCTCTCTGCATTCTCACTGCAGCACAAGGCCACAGGTTATCCTAAGTCTCCTGTCCTAAGTGAGCAATTTGGGAGCTGCAGATGAGTCGTGCCACTGGGACAATATGGTGAAAAGGCTGCAGGAGGAGAGAAAGCACTGTGGGCAGGAGCCTCTTTCTGGAGGGTGCTGCAGCCCAACTCTGCTGACCCATCTCACTCTACCAGACTGATTCCTCTTGGAAACAGCTTAAGCTGACCCAACCAGATGGTGAACCAGCTTCAGCTTAGACAAGAACCTATCAAAAAGAACTTCAGTTACAGATGAATGCAAGCTGAAACTGAACAGAGTGTACTGGTTCAGTTCTCTGGTCTCCTGACCTAAACTGAGATTTTCTTTAAAGCCTTCAGTTTACACTGTGTACTGCAGGAGTCTCTGACCTGCAAGAAAATGCATAAATATTTCAATGTAGACAGTAGCCAACACAGCAATTAGTGAGAAACACTTTATAGGGTATTATAAATGGGCCAGTGAGCAACATCAACACTACCAGATAAGCACAAGCATAAAGGAATGAATGAAGGGCATTCCTAGAGGACTGCAGATGTGAAAGATTCATAAACCAAGCAGCTGTGAGTCCAGCTGGGGGCTCGATAGTGACGTGAATAGGGCTTTGGGCATTAATTTGATGGGACAGTTTGATATTGCCCTTGAAGAAAAACAACAAATTTAAAGCAAGCTCTGAAATTAGAAGAGTAAACAAAACCGTATTGAATCGAACCATGTTTTTCTCTAAATCCTGTTGTCTGACACATTTGGAATTTTTAGCCTTCTCTGGGCAGGTTGCAATTAATGTCTTAATTTTTTTTTATTTGGTTGGTTCGATGGTTGGGTGTTTTTTGTTTTGCTTTGGAGGTTGGTTTTTCTTTTGCCTCATTTTTTTATAGACTACAGTAAAACAAATTGTTTTTTCCTTGAAAGATACCAGCTGGTCAGGCACCAGGGTTTTTGCTTATGGCAGAAGAAGAAGAAATAAAAGAGAAGGACAGCTCCTGTCCCATCTGCACAGCAGCAAAAACCCCTCAGCTGAAGGCATTCAGCAATGCTTCCCAAGGTGGACTGTAGAATAGACAAACAAATCACAGTAGTACCATCCAATTTAGTTGTCAGAAAAATCCGAAACTCCAGGAGGAAGTTTTGCTTCCTTTTGACTTCCTGTGCTTTTGGAAAGATTCCTTCTCAAACACCAATGGCATGTGGTAGCAAACCATAGAACATCCAACAGTTTAAGTGATTGACAGAGTGGCATAGAGTGAAAGCTACTCCAATTATAACTTACAAGCCAGGGTTTTACTCTGTAAGGCTGAGGTGAAAAGAGCTCAAGGAGCTGAAACAAAGTGGTGACGTATGGTCCTTAGGAAAGGAAGGTCTTTCCTTAATGACACTTAGATATTCCTGGTCATTCCAACTTCATTTCTTTAATGATTCATCTTCCATTCTACTACAAAGGTTACATTAGATTATGAGTATATTGCTGGATCATGCAAAAAGTGAAAAGGCATCCAAGATAAATGTGTTCACTCCACTGAAAACTATGAGAAATGTTTAAAGAACTAGAAGTTGCTAACCTTCCTTTTCAATCTGGGGTGAGCAAGGAGGTTTAGAATAGGAGAACAAGACTGAGACCAGGTGAGATGGTCCTTGACTGTAACTTTCTGAGGAAGGCAGAGGTTCTAATTACTGACCAGGGATAATCACTGCATGCATGGCAATTTTTAAGCCCATGAGGGTCTGATAGAAAATACAGTTTTGCTCTAGAAAGACAGGTCTGTAACACCCCTTCTGCTCCTCCTCAGTGGGATCCAGGCTCTGTCTCACCTGCATTCAGTCTCTAATTCCTACCTTCCCAGATATGATTTAAATCCCATCCAGAAACCTCCAACTGTTCCCCAAAATGAAGCAGTATTTAGTGAACAGAACATTATCCTAAAAAGCACCAAAGATTCAAGCCCCTTCAGGTGAAGAGGATCTCAACCCCACATCCTGGACCAGTGGTGAGCCCCCAGCTACTATCCTAAAGTCACTGCAACTACTGAGCCTCTTTCCTTTGAACCATAAGCCAGCCTTCCTTCATAAGGCAGTCACCTCCAGAGAGGACACACAGTGAGCTTCAGCAACTTCAACAATGCATTCCAGCAAAGTCAGAAGGGGAAGAAATTCAAGCATTTTAAAAGTGGGCTGACATGCCTCTTCAGCTCCCCAGAAGCTCCAGTCCCCCGCTGCTGTTGGCATGGAACTCAAGATTTCAGAAAACTGTTTTTCATTGGGAAAAAAAAAAGCCTTCCACTGACTTTCTGTACTGCAGGAGACTTTTGTCTCCTCCACAAGCATTTATAACAGCTGAAGACTAATTGTCTTTAGTTTAGTTTATTTAAATCTTTAGAGAAGCTCCTGGGATGGGAAGTGATAATCTCCTGCAGCCACATGGAGGTAAAAATAAGTATGCCCTGCCCTGATGGAACTGACTGCTACTGGTACTACAAGTAGCCATCAGTTTGGGAGAGGTCTGAATGTGCCCTTGTCCCATGGATGGAAAACACTCAGGACCCTCATCTTCTTTTTCTCATTTTCCTTTCCCAAAAACACATATATAAAGTTCAGGTGAGGCAACACTTAACTTAAACTGCTGTGCACAGAGCATTAAGGTAGGTATAAGGATCCCATATCATGTTTTATTATTCTTTCAGAGACATGCGATTTTTAAGAGATGAAAAGTAGGAGCTCACTTCAACAACACTTAGCCACTTACTAGTGCCCGTTCTCTAACATTAATGCCACATGGACTGCAATATATCACACAATTCATAGCAAAAAAGTACTGTGCATCCTTGTTTCTCATTTATTACAATTACTATATTTCAGAAGTAGTAACCTGTTTCCAAAAGTGACTAAAAAAGTATTATAAATGAAAGTAAAACACAACAGCCTATCAAAATCCAAGTTTAATATATCAACCCCAAATCAAACCACTAAATTTATCAACACTTACAAATGCTTTATAATCGCATGACTGGAAGATGAGTTTCTCTGGATGATGTTGCCAATACTGTACAGGCGTTGATGCTGTGGCTTCATTTGGAGGTCTCAAGGTAATTGAAGGCTCTCCCCAGTCTCCTGTCTGAAAACCACAGTTGTTCAAGATGTAAGAGTATGTGCAGGCAAATTCACTATAAAGTAGCCCTCCACTGTTGTGCTCAATTAACAAGGATTTATTTTCTACACATAGAGCCATGTTACTAAAATAAGGGAACACAACTCCTACAACATTTTTCATGGTTTAATTTATAATCCAAAGTCATCTACTGTAGTGTTTAATGAGGCTTTAATTAAATCTCTTTGCTTTGAGAATAAAATCATTAGACACCGGAAATGTTCCCTAAAAATAAGTGTTTACAATACATATATGAGGATGAGAGCACTTGAAAAAAATCATGAGATGCATGAAAATGCCTTTCACAAATTCTGCTATGTGTTTTACAAGCTTTTCTGCACAGTTAATATGCCTTCCATTATCTGGCACACATAACCAATAACTAACTTTCCTAAATGGCTAAATAACAGAGACTTTGCTTTGATCTGAAGACTTATTATACATTCTTCAAACACACGAGGCATTCTTTAATCTCTCTGCGAATTATTTACTTTGATCACCTTCTCTTGATGCTTCATTGTGGAGGTACTAATACTGCCCTTCCACATTCATCATTCTCATTGATATAGGAGATTGCCTTTCTGAGGTGTCATCTCCTCTCTTTCCTCAAAGCCCTCAGAGAACACAGGTAGGAGTGCAGTTTGCTGCCAAACCCCTTCGCAGCATGCTCTTCTTCCCTCCAAAAGAGCCAGTGCAGGCATCAGGACAGGAATGTCCCCAGCCTGGCAGTGCTGCTCTGGGTCTCACCTGCCACTGTGTATATTTGATCATGGCTCCATAGGACCTGCTGTCTCCTTAGGGGCCCCTTGCAGGCCTGTGCGTCAGCTCACTTGAACTGAAAATGACCCATGGGTGGGCTTCTCCTCCTCCTAAGCCCCCTTCCCTCTGCCACCACCCCCACTTCTCACCTATCCTGTCCGGTCTGAACTGCCTCTCAATTCCCCTCTTCTCACAACTCTGTCTTTTTGCAATTACACTTGTTCTTCCTGATCCTCCTCCTTCTCCTGCCCATTCTCTCTCAAACTATTTCACCCTTTCCTATATGATTATTTCAGTTTGGATTATGCTACTTCTTTCTTTACCTGCACTTATCTCTGTGCATTTTCTATGTATGTCATTTTGTTAAAATAAGTGTTGAAGCTGACAAGGAATTGTCATCAGCATTTCACACAGAACATGGCTAGAAGCTTAGACTTTTATAGCAAAAAGAAGTTAGGCATCAAAAACACATGAAAAAAGTCTTATCGAAGACATTCAAAGTGTAGCAAACTATCACATCTTACTAATTAAGTCAGGACAGAGTAAACAGAACAAGTACATCATTTTCATGTGTCACAAAATAACGAAATGACACGCATTTGCACAACTTTGCAATGAAAAGCAAGAGATAAATCTGGAAACATCAACATTACCCTGCCAATATGGCAACTTCAAGCAGGAGAACATGGTAAAACAAGTCAAACCTAGTTACTGTTGGCACCATTAGTAAATCTACCAGTTACACAGTAATGTAATTTCTGTTTTGCCTAGTTAAGTTGCCTATATGCCATGGATATGACTTCAGCATTAGGTTTTGAAAGGAAAGAAGCAGGAGCAGTTGCTCCAATTTTTGTCAGTTTACATCCACAAAAGTGAATCCTTCTGGCCACTAATGCATAAAAACTTTCTATCTTATTTAATCTGAAGTGGGAATTTGATTTCTTTAAGAGGCAGTTCTTCTTATAAAATAAGATTTCCATCATATTACAAGGGGCAAGGATCTGCATCCTTATTAGTGGAGCTTGTCTGACAACAAGAGAAGATGGATTGCACCCATCACCACTTCTCACAGTGTGCTCAGCTCTCTTATGATCTGTTCAAGGCCACAGCTAACACAGCATTTGATTCAGTTCTTTTTTTCCCTCCTAACACTCCTGCATGTTCTGTGGAAGGAAGCAAAGCTCAGGAGATACATCCTGGCCATTTAGCAAAAGTGTGGACAGGGAGTAAATTCAGGACAGAAAAGCTACAGAAGTACATCTTCTGACCACTGGTCTCTCTACCAAGGAAGCACAGGGATGGCTGTGAGGCAGGACCAGAACTTCTACTGAGCAAGTGGCCAGGGGTAGTGCTCCAAAGCCTTCTGTTGCACTGCTCAGCAGGTGGCTTTCCTCACCTGCAGGAGAGGGACTGCGCTGGCAGATTAAACAGGGTACATAAGGAGAAAAATGAGTACATAATTTTATAGTTTGTTTCCCTTTTGCACATTAAGCATGAAAAGCATAGAGAAATGCATTTTTTCTGTCTGTAAAGGGCAGAGAAAGGGGAACAATGATTACCTCTTGTTTTGGCTCAATTTTATAAAGAAATGAGAAATAATCTTCAACCAGGCTAATAAAACTAGTGTATGAGACAGAGTGGGACTGTGTGGAGACCATGTTTTTACCCATTGAATGCTCTATAAATATAATCATCCTACTTCCTACTCCTTTTAAATTACACAAAACAGAATTGCCAAGATTGCTATATATATCTCTAGGATGTTCTAAACATGCAGTAGAGCTGAGGTTAGGGGAATGCAGACATACAGGATTTCTGCTCTTCCTGACAGACCACTGCCCCTGGAGGACTTTCACATATTTCAGTGTGTCTTGTAAAGGGAGCAGCTACTAGGAAAAGTGCATAAAATTAAACACATAGCTATAGATTATTATGATGGATGGAAAATACAGTCAAAATTTATATAAAATTTATACACAGTCAAAATTTTCTTCTACAGCTGTATCATAGGTGTTTTTTTAATATTCAGCAGAAGTGGCTCCCAGTTTCCTTTCCTTTTGTTTCTTACCAAACTCCTTAAACTTTTAAACAGTATCACTGTTAGTATTCATAACCTATTTAGACTGAGTTGTAACAGGATAGTCTCCAAATCCCAGACCCATGAAGATTTTTAGAAGTGTAATTCCTATTACATATTCCCCTTGCAATTTCCTTTCCCTTTTTTATTTTTTTTTTTTTTTTTCTCTTTAGGGAAGAAAAGCTTTTAAACAAGATTTAGACAGCTAAAGACACTCATAAATACATGTCTGAAAACCTCACCAAGAAGAAAGGGAGCTTCTCAGCTGACTATCTCTAGTCAGATACTGAAATTCTGAGATTTAGGATGTGATGATGACATCTAAAGTCAAGAAAAATACAAAATAGGACCATCTTTGGCCTAGAGAAGGCTTGAAACCACAAAGCTCAAGTTGGGGTGGAAAAATACAAATTACCAGTAGTACAAAATCTGAGGAGCTGATGTGGAACAATTTATGGGTGATGTATTGAGATTCAGGTCCTTCATAAGGACCTAATACACTTTTCAAGCAGTACAGAAGCGTTCATAAATTGCTGTGCAAGACCAACTATAATGTTTGATTTAAGTTTTAAAAATAGATATGATAGGATAAGGATTTTCTGGTTTGAATATTTAATTTGCAATTATAAGGAATAATCAAACATTTAAGCTTATGTATTTTTTATGACACAATATACGGATGGAGATATTTATCTCTCTGATGAAGTAGAAAGGCGAGAGATAATTTCTTCCTCATCTAACTTTACAGCTCATCAGACAGCTGTGCAATTTATCACATGGTTTTTGCTGTACTGCCTGTGGTTTAGTATTCTAACCTCCCTATGACTTTAACCAGCACCTTTCCTCTCTCTGGCCTCAGCTAACATGAAAAAGATTTTTTTGCTCCACATTTTGCAGATAAAGAATTTATAATCAGAAAATGGTCTCAAGGCAGGTGCCAGAGGAGTAAGGATTCAATTGTTTTGCAATGACAACTTTTAATAGTCTTAGAGAACAATATCTTGTGCTTTTGCAGTGTTTTCTAACCCCAAAAACGGGCAGATACCCACTTCTCTAGAAAGGTTTGGATGCTTGATGTCAAATGAGCTACAGAAGCAGACTGCAGCTATTATTTTCTCTATAATTTTTTCTACAATTGCTGCACATTTTCCTACCTCATCCCATTCTCTGAGAAGTGTATTTGACTCATATTAAAGGCACCTGGATGCAGAGATAGTCGCAGATAAGAAGTAACCTCAATAAATCTTCTATAAAAATCTAACACCTCCCTCATCTTTTTATAAAAATGTCAAGTTGAAAAGCCTCCATGCTAAAAGGAAGAAAAAAACCCCAAGAAGGCCTGGTTTTGAGTGGTTTGAATGCAGTTATTTTTAACAAGGACCACATCTTCTAACTTTTCACCTGTTAAGCCTCATGCCTGGTTATGGCAACGTGTATTAGTCACCATGACAACAACAAATTGGAGCACACATGGATACAACAGTTCTGGCTGAAAAATTTATCATTTTTTCCCTGTGAAAAATTTAAATGTTCTGCAGACCAGTCGAATCCTCATTATTTGCTTTTGTTTTAATTCCTAGAGGAAGACAAATTTTTTAGCTCCTTAAATGTTTGGCTTTTGAAATAATGGAAACAAGTTCATGGTGTACTTCAGATTTAAAATAGTTCTGAAGCTCGGTAGCCAAAATGACCCCTCTCTGGCAGAAATGTTCCAAGGAGGGGTGTCAGAATTAGGAGAAATCTACAGCTGCTCCCAAATGCTGCGCTGAGCAACAGGCTGTCGTGCTTACCCCACTGCAGTATGGATCAGCAGGTTTGCTCTCACGTACACAGCGCTTGTGACTGCCCCAGAAGTGACAAAAACCCAGGGCACCATCAGCGTGGCACCCCCAAAGTGCCTCTGCCAAGGCAGCGTGTCACCTCAGCCGGGCAAGGCCTACAGACCAACACAGAGACACACGGCGGGGCCAAACCGTGCAAACCCAGCCGTTCACACTTTGGTTTCCCGCTTGGCAAGAGGGAGCGAACAAACACACGAGGACCAGAATTCCGAGCTCCCCCTGAGCTGCTGGCTGTCCTGAAGGAACGCACACCACGGAGCCGACACACGCCAACCACACGGCACGACACACCAATGCGCGCACACACGGTCCCCACACAGGGCGAGGACAAGGTACGGACTGCTTTCGTCATTTCAGCGACACGACACCCGCAGATAACACCAAGGCAACAGACTGTACATCCATAGAGTGACAACATAGCCATTTATCGCTGTGTCTTACATTATGAACCTGATGAATCGATGAGAAAGGATATCCTGCATTCTGGTTGGTCCAGATCTCACAGACCGAAGACTGCTAATATAAACAGAAAACTGTATCTCATCTTGTCAATATTAACGCACTGCAACTGCCAAAAGGCAAGATTAATTAAGAAAAGGCTTGCAATAATACTAAAGAAGGAAGTAAAACAGTTGTAAAAAGTAATTATTTTATTTATTTGCTGACAAAATATTTTTGGACCGACTGAAAAGGAACATAGCTTATTCAGAAACTTTAGAAGAGGTTTCAGACCGTGAGTAGAAGAAAACAATTTAGTCAGAAGTGCTTATGATGTAAAGAGATAAAGTTATGCAAGCATAAGTAGAAACTGCCTAGAGCAGAAGAAATATTAGTTACTTTCAGTTTTTGGCAGGGAAGAAGTTTGAAGTCAATGTCCCAAGTAAGTTTTGAGACTTAAATTTCTCTCTGTTGGAGACATTCACAGGGAGAAAGGAAGGGAAAAAAAAAAAATCTGGCAACACAATCAGCAGGAAAAATACATTTTCTTTAAAACAATTACCAGAAATGAATGCATTGCAATTTAGTGAAGCAGCTGCCCACCATCTCCTTCCAACAACAGTTCTTTTACATACTAAGATACAGATAATATTACCTTTGGCATTGACCATGACCCCAGTGTGTAAATGAAAGGTTTCAGCCTACCCTCTACATTATTGTACAGACAATCTGTAGTAGCGAAGCAAAGTAAGCATATTGTAGCATCTCTAGCAAAAGCAGCAGAACTTTAGGCAAGCACAGCATTCACCAGCATCTTTTATATATTTCCCTGTTTGGACAATCATTAATAAAGCATCTGTGGCACCTCAGCAAAAGCTAAGATAACATTTTACAGTAGCCAGGCAACTAAAACAAAGCATCAGACATAGGATCTTCCCACGCTATCTTCAGCAGGCAGCAACAAAAGGCAATAAACAGACATGAAAAATGCAACTGCAGCATCCAGAAGAGATAGCAAATAATTTATCAGTAATTTAACAGCATCAAGAATGTGCATTGCTGTTTTTTTGTTAGCAGCAGCAGCAGGAATTTAGCACTAATGCTCAAATCAACCTGATGAAGTGCAAGTCTTCTTAAAATATGACTCTTGATCTTACCTTTTGTAGCCTGCACCCTGGCTGCCTGGCTGGTGACAGAATAAGTTACCACTTCTGTTTAGTGTCAGGGAAGCTTGGCATCCTCAGGACTGAATGCAGAGCACTGCCAGACAGCCTGGTGGCTGTCTAATGTTGTTAATTGTCCCTTATTTCCTTCATCATCTGAAATGTACAATCACACATCCCTTCCTCCAGCTTCAGTAATTTTAAAACTTTCACAAATGTGGTTAATTCCTCCCTCATCTTGTTTTCAAAGTTCCTTGCTTCTCCTTCATGATGTGCAGGGCTCTACATTTTCATAGAATTAGCTAATTAAAACTGATTTTTATTCAGTCTTCTACCTCATTCCCTGCAACTTGCTACAAACTAGTCCTCGTCCATGTGATGAACACAGTCTCAGTGCAAGGCCAGCAGCAAAACACTGTTGCAGCTACTGCTGCTGTGCCATCCACAGGACACTGCACTAGTGCTTAGCAATGACCTTTTTCTGTGTACATCAAGCAAACTGACTTCTGGATGCTCTGACCATACCCATCGCTGTGATGCCTCTATCTGTTTGCTGAGGAGGGGAAGATTTCTGAATAGGAATCCATGGCATAAGATTGTGCCTCTGCTTTTCAAGAGAAGAGCAAAGAGAAGGCATTTCCACGCTGCTGCAGCATGCCCAAGCATCTGGTAATTAAGGTAGTCAAGAAAACTGACTGCACTGCTGTTTGTACACACTGAGGTGCTGAATGCAGTAAGGGATGCAGCAGGATACTGCATGCTGGCAGATGTTTTATTTCTCCTCAGCACTGGCAAGGGGTTGCCACAATGCTGCCATGTCGTGCAGCCACTCTTCAGGACCATGATATTCTTGAGACAAAATTAAGTGTGCCTTTAAATCCTGTCCCTCTTGAGGACTTGCTTTTAGGGGTTGGCATGGGGCCTCAGCCAGCTCAGTCCTTCAGCTTCCCTGGTGCTAACTCAGAGACAGGTAACCCTGCAGCACGTGCGTGCCCAGGCTTCAAGATGCTCCATTTAAAAAGAAGGCAGGGAATTAATCCTCTCCTACACTTGTCAATGGTACACATCCTGCCCCTCTCTCCCCAGCCCATCTTCTCCCAAATGGAAGCACACAAGTTTTGGGTCTGAGTATGTGCTTCAAGGACTGTTCAAGTCAATTTCCCTCAATAATCAGATCTACCTCCAGATATAAAGGTTTGAAGGATCTAGGTTTAAGTGAAACCATCTTTAAATACAATCAACAATAAATCAAGCAGACCAGCAGAGACTGAGAATTTCCCACAACTCCACCAATGCCCAGTCAAAAGGGCAGCAGTGCAAAACTCATTACTCATTTTTGTATTCATTAATGTTTGAATGACTACGGTACTGAAATGCATTGCAGATGGAACATTAATTTTATGGTAATGGTAATGAATTCAAATTCAGAAATCAACCTTTTCCTTGCACCATTGTAGAAATATTTAGCATTTACTATATATATATTTTATATCTTCAAAGTACTTTAAATTTGTAATGAAGTATGAAATGCCTAGGAGAATTACCTAAAGTTGCATATCCCTGTGGTGGAGAGGAAGGCAAAGAAAAAGGTTAAGTGATTATCTGAGGCCAAAAAATTAGGCAGTAGAAGGAAGAATGGGGATTAGGCTTCAAATACTTGCAATTTTCAGCTCCCAAAACATATGCTCTCAAAAAAACCCCTAAAGAATTCAATTTGTGCATACACTTCCACTACAATAAACAGAAATACACTTGGGCACCCAATACCACTGACACAGAGGTTCACAGAGGTGAAAGAGTTTAATGAAGAACATTTTCCTAAGTAATATAATATGGCAAAGAAGAGCAAAACAATAGCATCATCTGATTAGTACCAAACATGCTGTTATCTTAATACTTCCCAAAAGATTAATACTTCCCAAAACACTTATCACTTATATAACACAAGTGATGTGACAGTAAGACTCTGCTATCATACTCTTTTTGCAGTGTCCCATGCATAAAAGGTTTCCCTGTCTAGCCACGGTGGAATGCAACTCTGACAGGCAGGAGGGGCAAAGGAAGGGTGAAAAGAATTATCCAGGGAAAATTTTAGGCTTCCTCCTTATAGACTAGGGAAGCATGGCTGAAGAAATAAAGTAACTGTAAGACTGATCATAGAAATCATACGCTTTCTAAGGAGAGGAAAGTGGCAGAAAAGAATACCTGGACAGCACACACAGGAGGAGCAGGAGCCAGGGTGGAAGGCAGTGCAGATGTATTCATGACAGCTCAATGAGCTTCACTCAATGGCATCTTAGGAGATGTTAAAGATTTACCTAAATTAGGAGTAATTATCCTTGAATAGTCATGGAAGAAACTAAAGGACCAAAGAAGTGCTGAAAGAATATTTAAGGTGGGAGAAAAGGAAGGTTCAGAAAGTTACAGCCAGCCTAACTGCAGGGACCAGTAAGTGACTAGAAATGTTTAAAAATCCAGCAACCATCAGGAGGTGGTTTTCATGAGCTTCTGACATTGCTTCTGGCCATCTGAAATAAGCACTCAGGAATATATGTATGCATGTGTATATTTACATCTATGCATGCACTATTGAGAATAACAAAGAAAAAGTGTAATATTGCCTGCCATGTGCTACCAAGGCAGCTTCTATGTGCCAAGAAAAATTCAAGATGCTCATAAAGAGGTTCTTCAAAATTAAGTTCTTCAGTATGAATCATCTCAGATCAAATTTCCTTCCTGTGCTGGAAAACTGGTCAATTAAATCAGCAGCAGCAAGGAGTAGAGCAAGGCTTGGACACTGTGTGACTCCTGATGCAGCATGTCTCAAGAATGATTACTGGTATTTAAGCACAAATGGACTGAACATGTTGAGGCAATCTGCAAGGATCTGCTCCATGCTGTGGCTTGGAGGTGTGCCAGTGCTCTCTAAGGAGGATCCAGAAGTGAGGGATTTCTCAGAACAGGATAAGAAGTGAAAACAGACCTGATGAGCTACAGATCAGTCAGATGAAATTTAGTAGGATTACACAGAGAAATAAAATGGCAAATAAATTAGCAAAGTGATTTAGGTTTGGGGAGGTCAAAAAAGATCTGAAAGTTTCATTATACTTCAAAGTAGATAGAGCAGTCTTTCAAAAGAATAAGTATATAAATCACAGGATAATTCATGCTTCAAGGAAGCTCAGGAAAGCTCCACTCCAACTCCAGCTCAAAGCAGGAACAAGTGTGAGATGAGACCAGATTGCTCAGGGCTTCATCCTGTCAGGTCTTGAAAACCTCAAGGACAGAGACTGGACAGACTCTGTGAACAACCTGTCCCCCTGCTTGCCTGTCCATATGGGGAGAAAGTTCCTTGTGGTGTCCAGAGTCCCTCTTTTAGTTTTTGTACCCAAAGCCACGTTTTCTCCAGCCAGCCCTGGTTGTGCAGACTCCTTGGAGGGCAGCTGCTTCAGCTCCCAACCATCTGAATGGTGGCCTTCTGCTGAATTTTCTTTCTCCTATATAAAAACCCTCAGGTATTTAATAAAAATAGATGCTGCATCCCTGAATGTTCTCAAAGCTCTGGGGAGAGCTTGCCTTACTAACAGAAATAATTGAAAATTCTTCTTCAGAAAAAAAATCTTCAGAGATGAAGAGTGAAATTTGAAATTTTTATTTATTTTAGAGAAGCAGAAATTCGAAATATCACTTCTTATTAGTAGAATTACATGTTTTGCAGTGGTGTATTTCTTCTGCTTCTCCTGAAAATACTTCACATGAAAATTTCCAGGCAGCAACAGGCCCCCTTGGACTGGCTCTCTTGAAGTTAAGAAGTGGGTGATAGGTGTGAGCTCCTTCTCATTGACAATACCCCTTCTGCTAGTGCTGCCAGCTTTCAGTGCACCCCAGCTTCTTAGCCTTGCAGACAGGATATAA